GTTATCCGGAAAACTTTATCACTTGTCACAGTAAAGAAAGACCACGTATCGCAAATACAGCTACTGTACCAAAGAAAGCTATCTTTATTAACCTACCATTCAAGGGCTACCAGATTATGCATTTGGCAGCTCAGAGACTTCGGTCAGCCATCAAACGCACATTCTATGCTGCATTTGTTTTCCTCGCATGCCGAATATTTTCGATCCCTGTACCTACAATTAAAGGACGAAATTCTGCGGACTCTACTTCAAACTGTATCTACAAGTTCACCTGCAGCTGCGGTGACACCTATATAGGTAGACCCAATAGAAAGTTCCAATGTCGTCGAAAAGAACATGTTCCAAAATGGCTACTAAATCATATAGAAAATCCCAATGCGAGTAATCTGAATAGAAATCCAGCATCATCCATTGCAAATCACTTATTAATGTCAGGTCACAAAATCAATATCAATGACTGTTTCACAATTATTTCATGGCATAACTCTAATTCAAGTTTATTGAAGGTTATGGAAGCACTTTGGATTGATCACATACAGCCTAAACTGTGTGCACAAAAAACAATAGACTTCAATCTTCGCCTACCATGGACTACATGACCTATTTAAATATGATTAGTCATTAGTATGTACTTTCGTGGTTTTATTTAACTGAGTAATTGTCATGATCTTTATTTTATTGTTGTTAACCATGTTAGTTGTAAAGCGGTTGTAAAGAAACTACGAAATTATATCATCTCGCGAAATTTGTCTTATTAATTCAATATTGGAAATTTAATCTTCAATAATCAAACTATTTATTTTTTATTTTATTTTTTTATTTTTGATTACAGCTTTGATGCCACACCGTATTTTCAGTACAAGTATGACATTTTCAGCATGGATATCGGTAGCCCAATTATGCAGGCCAACCATTGATTTCGGTGGTGAGTTGGCTAGGGATCGAACCCCGGACCATGTGCATGGTCGGCGAGAGTCCTAACCACTGTGCCACCGACGCAATATCATTCATTTATACGATATGTTGACAAAGTTGATAAAACCTATCATATTTCTTGGTACTAAAATGCAGATCATGCAGTGTCAAGATCAGACGATAAACTCCTGACAGATTGATTGACGTAAATAATACTTTTGCCGATTACGAGATTTTGTATTTTGCTTGGTAGTAATTATTGATGTCTTCATTTATTTATTTATATTGAAACCTTTTCGTTCATTATTGGTTACAGAGAGAAGTGGAGCAGAAAATGACATTTAATTAATTTTTAGGTATTTCTGTCATCGATATTCTGAGAATTTCCAAACTAAAACTCAGCAAAATAAACGAGATCTCTATAAAAATGCAGTGATTAAAGTTCTACGATGCTTGAGCAATTTTCTGTGGAAAAAATCTTTCAATCACAAAGAAAGTGATATCTTACTTTTAACGACGGTATACGGTTATATGCAGTTATGCAGTATCATCCATTACGACGGAGTATGATTGATTCATTTGAAAAGAAAACTAGTTTCACTGAATTTCCATCAAAACTTGAGTGACGTAGAGAATGTAGGCAACTCTATTACGTTGTTTTAAATGTATGTGACAGATGGAGTAGATTTCATTTGTTACTAATCCGATATATCACCTGTCACCAACAGTATGATAATACTAGAGGATTATGCATTATACAGAGTTGTAATATAATAAATCAGCCTGAATTACATTCACTCCTCCTACACGTGAGAAGCAAGTTGACGCGATGTTTTATAGATTTTTCTTTTTTTTATTGATGTGTTTGGGAAAGATATAACTGATCCACTGAGATGCCTGCATCGGTTATTAGTGAACAGCCCATCTCAAGCAAATTACTAAGTCGCATCATTCGGAAGAGAATCAATCACTCACTAGATGAAAAACTTCGACTGTAACAGGATGGATTCAGGAGGAACAAGTCATGCATCGATCAAATCGCAACACTAAGTATCATTATTGAACAGAGCCTTGAATGGCAGTCAGCTCTCTATCTCAACTTCATTAAACTTTGAAAAGGCCTTTGGCAGCGTCGATCGAGAGGTGATTTTGCGACTACTTCGCTACCACCAAGGGGTGCCGCCAACAATTATACATCTCATCCAGTAGTTGTATAACAATACTGTATGCCAAGTAACCCATAACGGGAAACTCACGGAATCCTTCGAAATGAAGATGGGAGTATGACAAGCTGGTTGCCTACTATCTTCAATGATTTTCTCCATTATGGATAAGATTTTATTTTGATAAATCACGCAGTGTTCTACAGTAATATTAACTGATGACGTTTCGAGCACAAACTGTTGCTCATAATCATATCTTATCCATCTTATCCGCCATCTCATCCATAATGGAGTTATGCTGTACCACAGTACCCAAGTTTTATATTTATTTTAATGATTTTTCTGATTACGGTAAAATGGATAATGAGGCAGACAGCATTGGGCAACGAGAAGACAGGTATAAAATGGACCCACACAAAACCTTGCACGGTTTAGACTTCGCGGATGACATATATGAATAGTCTGATTTCCCACAAACTGGAAGATATGCAAACGAAAAGCAACAAGTTGGCAGAAGAAGCATCCAGAGAAGAAAGGACTTCAGGTGAACATCGAGAAGACAAAGGTGATAAAGATTCTTCGTCAACAGCAACAGCAACAACAACAGACAAAAGTCAGCATAAATGAGAGAAATCTGAAAGAAGCAATCTCCTTCACCTACCTACCTACCTAACTGGGAAGCATCGTTTCAACTACAGCCGGATGGAACTGACGAGGATATCAAAGCGAGGATCACGAAAGCAAGGTAAACTTTTATTTCTCTCAAGTCTGAATGGAGATTAACAGCACTCATCACTAAAAATAAGATCCAGATATTCAAATCCAATGTAAAGTTAGTGCTACCTGCCATACGGATCATAGACTCAGCGCCGCAACACGAAGGCCACTTCCAACAAACTAAAGACTTTCACTAACAGCTGTCTTCACTCAATACTAATCAAGATCAGATGGCTGGCCAAAAATGATCAGCAACATGGATCTGGGGCAATGAGCGAATCAACCCAGCACGAACCGATTGTGCAACAAATATGCAGGAAGGAATGCAGGTACATTGGCCATACTCTGCGAACACAAACCATCAAGTGAAATCACACGCCAGGTCATCTATCGTGTGGAACCCAAATGGGAAGCGGTGAGCTGGCCGTCAGTACGAGTGTGAGGTGATATGGAGGAGGTGATGTGAAGAATAGATGAAAGCATATGGGCAGACATGGAGACAGGTGAAAACGTTGACGGAGAAGCGAATGCAATGGAGACGTGAGGCTGAAGCCTTATGTTCCTCTAGGAACTAAAAGAAACAATAACATCATATAATAATAACCTTGTCATACCACAAATTTTAAAGCAATAAACATCACCATGTTAATAGGTAAACTTTTTAAGTCTGTCAGTGATAAGTGTATCATGAAGACAAGAAATATTTCTCCGCCTAATCATTTATGTCCTCTAAATGTCTAAATGCGGATTTCCACCAACTGTATTTGTTGACTATGTTCACTCAATATTCTTGAGAAAAGGTCATTTGTACACTTCAACAACTCTTAACATTGGGCTACTTTTATTTTCAATCTATTTTGTTCATATTGTTTCCTCAACCTTCATAACTGTAAGGCTGGAGTGAACGTCCAATAAATGCATCCAAAATTAAGCCTACTAAACTGTTTTCACTTCTTAATTTCACACCCAGTTGTGCATTCTTTATCGAAATAAGACTGTTTATTAAGCAGTATAGCTACTGAGATACATTTATTCACTTAAAAGGTCTATGCAAAAAGTAATCAGCTCACATGGTTTCCTGTTATTTTTTGGTAAACTAACACGAATCAACCATTTTTTGAATAAGATATAGTAATGAATGAATGGCACTAACGCATCTCGTGCTTTTAACTTTTTTTCCCCGTCAATCTACTGTCCAATTTCTTTTTCACAATGATGATTAAACTGCTACTAGTGTTGAATATATTCCATGGATAGGAAACAAGCTATAGAATTCTTCAAGTACCTATCTCATCGTTCAGATTACTTTAGCGATGCTCTTCATACACAGTGTGTAATCATATATATACTTCACGCCATATAAGAGATCCCAAAAATATGTCTTACTTTTAGTATGTCCAGTGTGTGTTAAAAATATATTATAAAAAATTCTAAAACAAAAAACATTGACCAATTGAAAGAATTTAGTTCAATGTCTGTCTATCTTCCAATCATGCACAGCATATACCGTTATTATTATTTATATATATGTGTGCGTGTTGGTTGCCCTTGTAGACAATCAAACATTGATTTCAAGGTAGATTGAAGAAAGATAGGCCAACAGACAGACGGAAGTTAAAAATATCCCCTTATTATCAAACATTGCAGCAACAACAACAGCAAAAAATATCTACACTTTAGATTGACACTGTTGATACAAAGTAGTAATAGCTTATTATTACTGTGATAGAAATAATCACTGGTACATATCTATTATATCAACACTCTCAAGAATAAATATACTTTATTATTCAATCAAGCAAAGGAATATTGAGTAAAGAGGATTTTTTAAAAAAAGAGAGACTTATTCAATGGATTATATCTAATTATATAAAATTTTGCTTTCAAATTGTGAAAAAAAACACAAAAGAAACTTATATCAACTATCAATTTCGCTTGTTTCATGGGCTAAACATTATTTAAATATAAAACAAAAACAAAAATTTGTGATTTTTAGGATTTACTACTCATAATAATAATACCTAATAACTACTTCATTTTTATTTAAAATCTATGTAGACAAATTTTTTCAGCCTCAATTCTTTTGTGGATTTTGAATAATAATAATAATACAAATAAAAGTTGTGTGTGTATGTATCCATTGGATGAGTATATGTATATGGTATAGCTAACTGTTTTTAAAATGTGTTTTGCCCAACTATTCACATGCCCAATTTATCAGGAACAGCATCCAGTTTACTGTTACCTTACAACAACAATTCAGCTTATTGGGATAGCAGGTGAGTAAAAGATTCAACGAAAAGATTATTACTATTATTATTATTCATAATTTCTTGATCTGTTATGTGAAATGTGATCACCTGAATTATCATCAGGATATATTCAAATGTATGACGTGATAAAGTGACTGAAACGAAATGTTTTTTTAGTTAATAAATAGCAGCTTCAATCAAAGATCGCGTAGGTGTCGACCAATAAAATGTAAGTCCCCAACAAACATCCTATGGTAGTTATCCAACTTACTTCTTGTGCGGCGGTGGCACAGCGATTAGGTTTCTCAACAACCATGCACATGGTCCGTGGTTCAATCCCCGGCAGACGCACACCTGATGTCAATGGTCAGCCTGCTAAATTTGGGCTACCCATATAACATGCTGAAAACTACATAGTTCTATCAAAATACAGTGTAGAATCAAGCTGAAATAATAGTCCTTTGCAAAAGACTTCTTTCACGATCCAACAAGAGATATCTTAGTGTGCCAAAGCCGTTTTTTCGCAGCGTAGGTAAAAGGAAACTATTATGGAGAAACACAAAATAATTGAGCAAAGAATATCCTTTTCGATAATTTGCTCTTCTGGCTCTACAATTATATATGCATGTTTCTGTACATAGAACATTCTAGAATAGTAGTCAATATCAATATTAATGTTTTTAAATAATATCGATTTGTAAAGTAAGATCAAGGCTATTACAGTTCATTAAAGATACTTAAATTATAATAATAAAGATATAGTAGCAAATAGAATATCAACTAAAATTAGGAAAATTTCCGCAAAAATTCAGGATCATTCGAACCTAGATGGCCAAGATAAGGGCAATATCTGAACTAGCTTCCTTTGAACGCACAAATTGGGCTTCTTAATATGGATCCCAATAGCCTCAGCAATGTTTGGTAAACGAATTCTTAAGGCGAAATTGAGATTTGTTGGTATGTGGTAGATGACTCTGAAAGCCCTCTTGGTAACACCAATCTTGTGTTCTGTATCCACAAGATGAGATAGAATAGCACTGCGAATAGATTTTGTTTGTCCTTTACTTAACCACGCAGAGTGATGTTCATAAATCCGACGAGAAACACGCTTAATTGTACGGCGTAGCAACAAACTGGCTCCACAGGAGCAGATTCGTAGCTCAGGTGGATAATATAGAATTAGGTGTGTTCTCAACCAGTTCAGAGAACACAATTAATTCAGTAGAAAACTAAGTCCAAAGTATTTGTTAAGATTTTAATAGTGTTGATAGTATTACTGCAGTTCTAAGTGAAATTAATGCATCTCTAATAATGATATTATGATTGTTTGATATTGCTAATGTTCCATACAGCGTGCCGTTTTAAAAAACAAAAGAGTAAACCAATGTCGAAAGGCAATAAAGGAAATGGTTTCCAGGTAAAGTTTTTGTAGAGTAAATGTTTCTGATCCAAAAATGAGCAGTTGTAATCGTATTTTTCAGAAAGTTCATGCTTTTATTCCCCTTGATGAATTTGAATAAAGCAAGAACAACAGTGTGGTTTGTGCTGTATAATATGGTACCATCACTGTGATATTTCGTTAGCTTCTCATCAGCTACTTACAGCCTAAATAAATTATGAGGTTTATGTACAGAAATGTTTTAACATACTTGCAAATTTTTTCATGGTGTCAGTTGACAGAAGGTTCCACAATTAGTGAATAGTGCTCAGAAAATTGCGCTTATATAGATTTTACAAAGGCAGTTCAAGTTTAAACAAAATAAATGTAAGCATACAATGGTAAAGGAGTTGCATAATAAAGACGAGAGATGCGTAAGATGCAGAGTGACTAATAAATTAGGTAACAATGTACTGAGTTCAACTCAAATCATAGAAACAAGAGACAAGCAAAAATACAAGTTATAAAAGAGGGTGAGGTTAAAGCCAAAGATTACGTTATCAAATGAGAGAATAAAGATATCCAGTTACCAGGATGGGTAAGGAAAGACTAATAACTGCTTCTTTCTGAATACATAAATCTGGTTTCAAGCGTTTGATATAAATTGCTTCGGCGAACTTGGAGAGAGTTGAGCTCTATTGTCTATTGATAATTTTTAAGGATTTCGCGATTTCCACCTCATGACCCTATCGAGGTAAGTATGTTGCAGGTTTGTTAAAACTTATCCGCACATAAACCTCATAATTTATTTAGGCGGTAAGCAGCTAATGAGAAGCCAACGAAATAAACGGTGATGGTACCATATTATTCTGCACAAACCACACTGTTGTTCTTGCTTTATTCAAATGTAATCGTATTGTTAAACTTCATTTTCGCTATGAGATATTTCCTATGTAAAGTATACTTAAACAACGTCAGATTTCAGCACTCCTCATTGAAATTTATACACGAAACATAAATACAACATTAACCCCATTAAATCATTTTCAGAAATATATATGTACAACTAGTGGCGTCATCCTTCACCTCGTTAAGCCGGTAATAAGACCAGTAAAAAAGGAAGGTTGGGCACAAATATGGCAATCCCACTCCGTAAAGTAAACACTGCTACTCTAACATCAAAGCTCTAGCTTGAAACCCTATGTTCCACTGGGAACGTAAAGGAATAAAAAAGTTATTTTTTTAAAGTAGAGTCGCGGGTGTGAACTGCTGAATAGTGCCGAACTAGGACGAAACATCTGTTCATTGCTCCTTGGTATTCAATAATCTCTAAATGTTTCGTGACACAAACTACAATTAAGAATAAATAAAATGTATACGTGGCATACGTTAGTTAATATTGTTGCTTATAAACATCTTGAATGTTTTGCTAAATCATTGACCGAAAAACTGCTATCGACTTTTTGAAAATGAAAATTCATTTACAATAAATAAGAAAGACTATGATAAAATTTTATTCTCCCACATTTTATTTCATAAAATTTACGTATATATGACTAAAAACAGCTAAACGAGAGCTCAATGTAGTCTTAGCGTAGTACAACATACCACAAAGCAATACCATGACATTCCTTGAAATCCACGTGTCATTATCTGTCAAGAAAACACTGTCACCAATCCGTAACTAATACCAACTTTTGAGCTCATAATTCAGCTATTCTGACAATTGAGTATTAATGCCTATAACACAATAAAGTGATAACGTAAAGAGTCAGTTCTTCCGCAGATTGAGTCTATATTAAGTAGTGTCTTTATAAGACCCTGTGTCATGCTCTGAGAACTAACCAGTGCAATCTTGTCGCGTCTTTAAAGCCTAATTGATTTCATCAGTTCATTCACCTGTATAATCGTGGACTTATAATACTCGCCATCAAGCTGCACACGGAGTTCTACAAATAAAGAATCCGAATGAAGATAAATTACTGGAGTCTGAAGTTGCGATTGCAGATACAAATAATTTAAAATCGAGAAATCAAGTGAATCTAAGCCATTCCCACTGCATCCTAGTCAAAGTAGGCCGTTAAACACACCTTGTCAGTTTTCCTGTTTTCGCTGCCTCTTCAGCAAACTGGCCGAAGAGGCAGCGAAAAACGGGACTGCAGGTGAACACAGAGAAGATGGAGGTGTTGAAAATAACCACTCAACAGCAACAACAACCAGCACCAATCACTATCAACGGGAGATATTTGACAGAGGTTTCTTCATGGCTTCACTTATCTAGGAAGCATCGTTTGAACTACAGGCAGTCAGAAAGGACGAAGATGTCAAAGTCAGGCAGAATTGAAAAGGCAAGATACGCCTTCATCAAACTGAAACCAGTTTGGAAATCTTCCGCATTGAGCATAAGCAGCAAGATTCGCATTTTCAACATCGATATGAAGTTGGTCAGCGCTTCTATACGGGTGAGAAGCTTGCACTGCGTGTCAAGCAAAGGATTTCCAACAGGTAGCAGACTTTCATCGACAGCTGCCTTCGCTGGCAGGCTCCATAATGAAGATCAAATGGCCAGCCAGAAAGAATAAGCAACAAGAAACTCTAGCTGGGAACAAACCAACCAAGAGCCGATCGCTCAACAAATATGTAGGAGAAAGTGGAGATGGGTCAGGCATACAATGAGGAGGCCACCGAATGACATCGCACGCTAGGCCCTCGAGTGGAATCCAAATGGGAAGCGACGAGTGGGTCGTCAGTGCGAGGTTGACATCGAGGAGATCGTGTGAAGAAGAGATGAGAGAGTTTGGTCAATCGTGGACTCAGCTGAAGAGGACGGCAGAAAACAGAACAAAGTGTAGATGTGTTGTTGAAGCCCTATGTTCCACTCGGAACGCAAGGGAATAATAAAATAAATAAATGCAGTTATAAAGTGCAGCGCAAGCAAGATAGGTTAGAAAAGCATCTATTATGAACAGAAGTTGCAATTTATTTCAGAAGATGGAAATCAAGAGAATGACTAGGAAAATATTCGATCAATAGTAGTTTTGTGTAGATTGTCATGTGTTATTAAATATTTAGAAAATAGATAAAGCAACATGGGTTAACTTAATAACCTTTCCCAACGGAAATTCACCTATTCTAAAATATATCAAACATCCTTGAATAAGTATTGTGCGATTTCTCCGCATAAATTGAACCTGCTCCGGTCACTACGTCTTCAAAAGACATAGGAATTATAGTTCATACATTGAAGACTTGTCACGGGATAGCGAACAAGTCTTTACAAAACCCTTTTACACAGAGCTAACAGTTACATCAATGGACAACTGTTGAATACTAGATTTCTTTTAATAAATATATCTGATACATTGACAATTAATGGTTTTAAAAAATGTGTATTCTCTCCAGTATACCGTTAAATGCTAAACGTTTTCTTAATTCACCTGAATAATGGGAACTGGTATCTTTGAAAAAGTGTACAATATCAAACGTTAGGCGGACTGAAGTCGAGATCTAACTAACTGCAAAGCATATATTTATTTATTCGAATTTTAGATTTTGCGTCAATTGATTGGACCAATGTGCTCGGTCTCAGGTTGACATGTCGGCTTCTTGTTCAGATGCTTTGACAATGTCTGGGCATGTAATTAGAAGT